TTAGCCTAAAAATGTTACTCCAACTAATGTCTTTTAGTTTAAAAACGTTATTTCAACTGACGTTTTTAAAAGTATTTGTATTTAAGAAATATTTTCAAACTAACCATTTTTTGGATTTTTTTTTTTTTGAAAATCCCATGGATTGAGGTTAAAGCTCCGTTCTGCACATCAGGCTGAACAGGCTAAGTATGGGTTTACCCTTCCCTGGAAAACCAATTTTAAGAGCAAATTCTGGCAATTAATTCATATCAGAGTGCTGACCAACTATATCGTCTAACTTGTTGAGGTACGTGGCTATTGTAACAAGCCACTACAATTGTCCTGTGATATGTCAAGAGAAAAGTTCCCAAATCAAACAAGACAGCCAACATGGAAAATCTTCAGCTATATCTTCCATATTTCGAACCTGTTTGCGATTGTACTACACCTTTAACAGCACTAGGTTCGGATATGTATACCTGAACTTGCACATTGTATGCAATGAATCTTTCCTTTGTGACATTATACGAATTACTAAACTATAAAGTTGGGTCAGGTGGGTGGAAGCCCAACTCATGGCCCATGGGTTCATAACCCAGTTACCGGTTAAACCTTTCTTTTCTTTTTTTCCTTGCTCTTGAGCAGAGTACAGAGAAAGCGACCAGATGTGAATTTCCTGTTGGGATGCGATCATAGTAGCCCTTACCCCTTAGAGAAGCCCTCAAGAGGGGACCTAAGCAAGGCAATCCGTAGGCGCTCGCTAAGGATGACAATAGCCATAGTCAGACTCCAGTCCCACCAAACTACTAAAAAGTAATAACTCAGCAGTCTACTTTTGATGAATCAAAAACTCTTACAAGCTGTAAGTAAGACCCTTAACACGGCACTAAGCACTGCTAAACTACACAACTTGGTAGTAACACATACCCAACGAGACTTGAACTGGTAATCGCCCAAATAGCAGTCAATATTTTATCCATTAATGTAAAGACCAAGCTTTAGGTGTTAAAAAAATAAAACTTTTTAGCCGAATATAAAGAATTTTTAATCAAATCTGAACATTAAATATCTATCGAGTAGTGAAATCAATAACAATGCATCAAGTCTCTCGAAATAAGTCCACAATAAAGATCTTAGTAGCATTGCGTTTATGCATTTTCCCTGGCTGTTATGAGTCCTCCTCCATATCGTTGGAAAGGAGGTAGTAACATTTGCTCCTATATAGTAACTTATCGGTGGAATTTTGTTTTGATGACCAACTTCATAGGTTTGTTTTCAACCAAACAATGACCCCAGCCCCTCCCTTTCTTTCTACAAATTTCATTTTCAACCACCAAATTTTTTGTAATTTTAGGCAAAAAATGTGATAGAGGTTTTAGTTTTGGTTTTCATTATCTGCATTGATATAAAATCAGAAAGAAAATTTCATCAGTAAACCGACCAAAATTTTTATTTATTTATTTATTTTCTCGCATATAGTTATCAATTAAACTTCTCACCATAAATCAATTATGGCCATCCATACTTTTTCTCATAATTGGAGGTATCATCTTTCAAATAGAAACCATCTTCTCTCACTGACCAGTAGTAATTCACTTTACGAGCATTCTTCTTCCACTGCTTTATGGCATCAAAAACATCAAAACTTGTATCCTTCTGTACCCACTTCATGCGACAAAAGAAAAGAGAGGTATACCAGACATTGATCTCGAAATGCCATTGGAACTCTTGGCCAACTTTGAGGTAGTGTATTCCAAGATCATTGTCTTTGGATTGACAGTGGATGAACAACGGCTGAGACTGCTCTTTAAGATTGTTGATGACATGAACAAAGTATGTTCCACGAAAACCGTCGACATCTGCTTGAATTTCAGCATAGATTGTACTTGTAATGCAAAATGCTAGGAGAAACTTGCTCAAAAACTGTCTCATATTGTACTTCATGTTGTGCAAAATGTGTAGAAAGTGATGTTTTGGGTTTGGTTTTGGGTTGATGCCTTTATATAATAGGGGTAAATGGTGTTATAAATTTATAATACTTGTCGATCATGGTATCTAGTGATTTATATAACCCAAGTGAATTATACTTGATCATGAGAATCCATGGTCATGGTTGATTTATTATCCAAGTGGGCGTTGGTCCTTATTTTGGTGTGATTTTTAGTCAAACAACATTGATTAAATAATGCAACATTATGCTATTGGTGTATTGGTCCCATTTTTATAGTAATGCTACATTATTTGGTCCAGAATAATGCTAGACCAACCAAAACATGGGACCAAAAACAATAACCAAATGAAGTGACGTTATCATATCGATGTTGTTGATCTCACTCTTATATATTTAAAATTTATAAAAATTTCATTATGGTGATACTACATTATTTTGTCCCTATTTTTTTATCTCATTTTTTTTTTTTGCCAATCTACCATTACTCTCTTACTAAATGCTAAACTACCAAAACATGGGAGCAAAAACAATGACTAAATGACGTGACATTACCATTTTATTGTTGTTGGTTCTAATTTTAAACATTTGAAATTTAAGTTTTTTTTTCTTTATGATAATATCATATTATTTTTTTGTCTTTTTTTTGTCAGACTTTCTTTACTCTCTTATTGAGAGTTAATCGCAAATTACACCCCAAAAAATCTCTCAAATTTTAATTTGTATCCTCAAAATTTAAAAATCTCAATTTATACCTTTAAAGATATAAATTTGTATCAATGTGCACTTTAAGCTAAAATTAAATAGATAAATTACAGCTAGACTCCCTTATGTTTGTCACTTAATCACCTGGACTCTCTCATATTTAAAATATTACACCTACACCCCTTAAAAAATCTAAATATGACTAAAAATATTCCCTTAATTGGGTATTCAAATAATTATGTTCAAGTAATGTATTGCATTGGATATAAAGAACATTATATAATATATGTATTGTATTGGGCATTCAAAATGTAAACTTAATTTGAACTTTAGAGTACAATAGGCCTACAAAATAAATGGTAGTATGAAAATTATAGTTGTTTATTAGGATGACATCATGTTTTTTAACTGTTACATTAACGAATATTGATAATAGAAAGTTATGTGTTACACGTGCACGTGTAAGTGTAATATTCTAAATGTGGGGGGATTCAATGATTAAGCCACAAATCTGAGAGGGTCGAAGTGTAATTTACTTATTTAATTAAACGTTGATATACATTTATATCTTTTAACGTATAAATTGAAATTTTTTATCTTTAAAGGTATAAATTAAGATTTATGAGATTTTTTGGGATATAATTTGTAATTAACCCAATATTTTTTTCCTATTATTGTGCCAGCACCGATAGTTAAGAATAAACTAAAGCCTGAGGTCTCGGATAGGGGTACAACTTGGGCAGGTCAACCTAAATTTAATCCGAGTTCAATCAAAAAAAAACAGGGATTGGATTAGAATTTTTAATACTTGGGTTGAGTTTGGACAAAAAAATCTCAACCTGAATTGAATTTGGGCAAGTCTCGGCTTGAGGGTTCAACCTGAATATTAAAATCAAGTTAAACTCAATTATTAAATGGGGTTGAACCCGAATATATATAAATATATTTAACTAAAGTTAATATTTATTTTCACTCTTTAAAGTCCAGACTTTCAATTCACTTCAGTCTTGACTCATGTGTCTCCATCACTCTCAGATCTCACTCTCATTCTTTACTCTTCTCTCTCTCTTAATCGTTACTCGTCTGAGTCGTCTTGGACTCTCAGGCTCCTTCTCTCCTTCGTCACTCCTTCCTCTTTTTTTATCTGCATCTCGCCCTTTATTTTAGATTATTTGAAAAAAATTAAATCTACACTTTAAAAAATTAAATCGACACTTCAAAAAATTAACCTGAATTAAGTAACTCAAGTTCAACCCGATTTTTATCTCGAAATCAACTCAAATTAAGTAATCCGAACTCAAATCTACTCAAATTAATTTCAGACAATATTCAGATTCTATTCAGTTTGAGTGCCTCGAATTGAGGTAGGAACCAGAGTTAAAGTTGAAGATTATAGGATTAATCTCATTTTGTACCCCGAAAGATTGTTCGAATCTTAATTTATACCCTCAAAGATAGAAATTTATATCAATGTGCACCCCCAAAAATCAAAAATCTTAATTTACACCATCAAAGATAGAAATTTATATCAATGTGCACTTAAAACTAAATTGATAAATTATACCTAGATCCCCTCATACTTGTCACTTAATCATTTAGACCTCTTCACATTTAAAATATTACTCCTACATCTTATGACATTTGTGCACGTATAACACGTAACTCATTTTTATTGATATCTATTAATATAACCGTTAAAAAATATAATTTTATCCTAATAAAAAATTATAATTTCATATTATCCTTTATTTTATGGGTTCAACATATTCTAAAGTTCAAAATCTAGTTTACCATTTGAATGTCTAATAAAATGTAGATATTTATATGTAAATATTTATATAATATTTTTCATATTACGTTTTATATAAATATTTACATTTTATTAGACATTCAAATGGTAAACTTGATTTTCAACTTTAGAGTATATTGAATCCACAAAATAAAAGGTAATATGAAATTATAATTTTTTATTAGGATAAAATCATATTTTTTAACGATTATATTAATAGATATCAACGAAAAGTGGTTATGTGTTACACATCTACAAACGTCATGAGATGTAAGGAGAATATTCTAAATGTGAAGGAGTTCAAATGATTAAGTGACAAACATGAGGGGATCTATGTATAATTTATCAATTTAATTTTAGGTGCACATTGATACAAATTTCTATTTTTGAGCGTGCAAATTGAGATTTTTTATCTTTGAGTATGCACATTAATACAAATTCCTATCTTTGAGGGTATAAATTGAAATTTTTGATCTTTGAGGGTACAAATTGAGATTTGAACAATTTTTTAGGGTACAAAATGAGATTAACCCAAGATTATATTCTCGTCCCACCGAATTGCACCCCTAGTCTTGGAGTGTGAAATACTGATTTTTGAGGTGGGTCTCTGAGAAATCCTCGCACAAATGGAGAACTGCGCAATGTCGGAGTCGGCACTGTCTTCGCCGGCGCCGGAAATTGGAGTAGCGGTGTTTCTGTTGAAAGGGAATAAAGTGCTTTTGGGTCGGCGGCGATCCTCCATGGGCCACAACACCTTTGCCGTTCCCGGTGGCCACCTCGAGTTCGGTCAGTCCCCCTACTTTTCTCTCTCCTCTCTCATACTTTCATACATACATATACTTAGTTATATACACCTTTATGAACACCCATATATACATAGTTACCCATTTTGGTCTCTCATTATCTGGGATTTTGGATGGGATGGACAGGGTACAAACCTTACATCTAGCGCAAAAACTAAAGGTTTTCGTAGAAATGTATAAGGTTGATTTGGATTTTGTAGAAATATGGAATTTGGATCTTGTAGAAATATATGATGATGATGAGTGGGAGAGGGGGATTCAACTCACCGTATGTTAGCACCCCACATGTTTGAGGTATTGCCTAAGAAGTTAAAAAAGTATGTATGTGGTTAATTTTTTTGGACAGGTTGGCTAAGGCCCATGTTACTTGGGTTAATGTTCCATATGTTAGGGATTTTTCTGAATCATAATAAAATGGATGTTGATAATGTGTAGGAAATGTCTCGATATGTTCTCATACATTGCATATTCGAACCTAAAAATATAACAGTAGTTCGCAGCCATAGGATAAAACCCTGACTCTATCCGAGAGTAGGCCTATACTCTCGTGAATAGCCTATTGTGCGTGCTGGATCTTGCACAATATAAATACGAGAACAGATCTCTCCCTTGGTGAACTCGAGTGAGTTAGTCGAGTGGTGAACCCTGCTGCTTGGAACAACCTGTGAGGTTCGGTGGTAACCTGGAACGGTAATGGGAGACCCTCGTGGATCAATGGAACGATCCAGTAAGACTGAGGAAGGTTCCTGGAACAAAAAAAGACAAGTTAGAAGGGCGCCGGAGTATTTTTCGGCGTATCCTCTTCGACGATCAAGTCAGTTTTTGAGAGAGAGGAAGAAGAAAACACTGAGTATAATTTGTAGCAAAGGTTTCACCTCGTTCTCCTTCTTTTGTGAGGAGTATTTATACCTCAAATACTCATGATTGTTGTCAGTGTGGTCAGTAGGTGATCATTAGATACAGGCAACGTGCGCACTAATTCCTACGAGGAATGTCTCGGGATCCCGAGCAACCAAGGCTGTGTCATCGGTCTGCCGACTGTTCAATGAGCTCCTCTCGGCAAGGATGTAATAAATATCCAGCGTTAGAGACATTTATTACCTTTCACTTCTGAGCCTTACCACATTAAATGCTGTCTCATTAAGGGAATTGTGTAATTAAATGCTTGCTTTCCCGAGTCGTATGTCAGCAAGGACATCCGGTCTTTCTGTCTTTGATGTGACACAATATACCACGCGTCCATTCCCCATTGGCTGTGTCCCCTGCCTTCTTGAGGTTTCTGATACCAATTGTGTAAGACGAGGTCATGATGGATAACCTAGCCTAGGCTAAACTAGTGACCTGTACATCAGTAGCCTCCGCGGGAGCAGAGAATGTCATCCTGGACGGTACACCTCGGAACCGAGAAGGAGGTACATCTCGGAGCCGAGGGGGAGGTACATATAGGGACCGATGTATCATATCCCCCGCTCCGAGGGATACGTGTTGGTACGTAACGTACTGGATGTCATTGATCCCTACGACCCAGTACCTCGTGGGAGAGAGACTTGTGAACCGATGGGTACGTGTCGTGATCATAGTAACAAAATTTTAGTGACACCGAGGACACGTGTCTTCATCTTGGAGTATTATGGAAATGTCCCATCACCTATCAATTGGATTAGGTGGGGCGGGTTCACGACAAAAAGCATTATACTCATACTTGATTTGTTTATTAATTTTTGTTTAAGAATAGTGTCATATTGGGTGCGTGTCGTGTATGAATCGTGTATATCAAGTATATAAATGAATCGTCGTGTTGTGTATTTTTTTTTAATTAGTTTCACTCATACCCAATTCGTTTATTAATCATATTATGTTAGGTCCACTCGTTTACTAAAAAGGTGACTTAACGAAGACTCAAACTCTCTAATTTAGTGTCATATTCGTGTTGTGTTAACGAGTTTTGACACCCCTACTTGTGAGTATTATTGAATTTGATTAGTGGGAAGACTGTCGGGAAAAAAAGTATGCTCTTTGTTAACTCTGCTTGTATCCCAGCTAATCCTCTGGGATCTCTAGCTTTGACCTATTCTGATGGTTTCTGCTTCAGAATTTGAGTATAGGATACTAGTATGGTTTTGTGCTGGACCGCCTGGCTTCTAAGGAAGGAAAGAAAAGCTTCAAAGCATTGGGATAATGCACATACCATGCTGTCCAATGTGGCTTCAAATGGGGGAAAATGGATATTGAATTAAGTTAATATATGCTCAGCCTAGTATTCGTGTACTTTGTTCCGTGTTTTCCTAAAGTCACTAAGTTTATGTAATTCTTAAATTTTATTTTACATAATCCTTAGTAATTAAATCCAAATCTATTAGGACAATGTCATCTGTCTGTGCACCATAAAAGATGTCCGATCTATCAACTTGATGAGATCAAAAAGAGTAATTCGTACGAAACTATGTTGATTTCTAATGCAAGTCATTTCCACTTATGACATTTTCGATTATTAGGTGTACATTCTTTTGAGAAAAACGAAATTCAAAATTATGCATTCGGTTAGTTATGTCATAGATCAGCAGGCTGCCCGTTGCCCCCACAGGACTTGTTACAAGCAGTTCAATGTGTCAGTCTTCACACCTTGGTTTATCAGTTTTCCAATATCTACCTATTTGTTGCAGGGGAAAGCTTCGAGGAATGTGCGGCCAGAGAACTGATGGAGGAAACTGGTTTGGCAATAGAGAACATTGAGTTCTTAACCGCCACCAACAATGTCTTCTCAGATGCAGGAAAACCAGTGCATTTGGTTGTTGTCTTCATGCGTGCAGTGTTGGCAGATCCTGATCAACTACCCCAAAATCTCGAGCCTGACAAGTGTTATGGTTGGGATTGGTATAACTGGAACAACCTCCCAGAACCACTCATCCAACCAATAGAATCTGTAGTGCGGACTGGATTTGATCCCTTCCCTGCTCATGAAAAACAGTGAGACATTGCTCATTTGCTCTGCTCTACAGGCAGCTTTCAGATGACTGGAATTTACTCCCTCTTGTTGGTCGGTTTTGCTGGGAAATCTCACAACTTGATAGTATTGGAGCAACAAACTCAGGAGTGGTAATCTTATTGTCTCTCCGACATGTTGAATAAACCTATGTAAACGGTTATGACTTGATAAATAAGTGGTTGCTAAATGGGAGGTTTCAATCATTGTTATTTTCTTTCATGTTCCATGGAATCAAAGCAGCTAGCATGCTTTAGTGGAAGTGGTTGAGGGTGAGCTCTTGTCTCCACTTTGTTTTGCATCCTAAAACATGCACTATGATCAAATGAAACATGAAAAGCCAGCCCAAAAAGTACATAATATAATTAAAAAAAATGTTACATAACTTAAATGAAATTTAAATAGTGCAATCAAAATATATATCATTCATTGGATAATGGGTGTTGAATGAATGGGTCCCAGTAAAAAAATTGATAAGAATATTTTTAAGTTGTAATTTTTCGAATTTTATATAAGTTGTGTGGCATTACTCAAAATAATATTAGGCAGACAAACATTGGGCTACCGAGCACTTCGGAATTTGGACGTTATCGTCGACTGGTGGGCTTAAAGTTTCTTTTCGTGCAGCCCAAGTAGAAAACAGTGACAGGGACGGCGGGAAAACAAACTACCCACTGGCGGAACTGAGAAATCGAAATCGACAAACGACGTCGTACCCGTTATATGTTTTTTTTAAAATAAAATTATACTTTGACCCTATTAACTATGGACTCAATTAAATTTTTACATTATCCCTTTAACTACTTCAATTGATTTCACACTATTCTAAACGCAAAGATTCGATTATCTTTTGAATAAATAATTGTCACCATGAGTCCCGATATTACTTCATTCTACCCTATTCATTACACATGATTGTAGGATTACTTTGGCATAAGATGATCGCATGAAATGGAATTCATTTATTAAGACAAACGATTGAGAAAGAAAGACTTTACTTAAATTTTCATAGGATTTTTCACCAAAATAACTAATTGGGGTAATATGGAGTTAATATCATAGTTAGGTATAATGTGAAAAAAAAAAAGTTCAAGAGATAATATGAAAATAGATTCATTGTTTAGAGGCTCAAAGTGTAATTCTTAGGGAGTTGAACAGCATAAAGGGAGGTCTTGGGATGTCTGAAATGCTTCGTACTCAGAGAAATGGAGAACTGTGCAATGTCGAAGTTTGCATCCCCGTCGCCGAAAGTGGGGGTGGCAGTGTTTCTGTTGAAGGGAAATAGCGTGCTTTTGGGGCGGCGCCGATCCTCCATTGGCCACAACACCTTTGCCCTTCCCGGTGGCCACCTCGAGTTCGGTCAGTACCCCCAAACTCTCTCTCCTCCTCTCTCATACGCTCGCACACGCAGACATATATTTAGATATGTGTACATATGTAAACACCCATCTATGATTTATGTGCCTCTAAAGATTTTCATTCTGGTGTTTTTAGAATGGTAAAAAGATGATATTACCCAGTTTCGTCTCTGTTAATCAGGGATGTTTAAAGGGTTGAACTGGGTACAAACTTAACTTGTATCGTCGGTGGTTGTCTTGTAGTCGAATGCACAATCTTTTATGTTTCAGAATGATATAAAAAGATTTTCAATTGATGTGTACTTGGTTTCTGTGAATAACGAGGATATTGGCGAACATATAGTGTGAAATGGACACTCAACCCATCTAATTTGAGAACTCCCCGCCATCTGTTTGAGAGAATGTTCAAGAAATTAATATAAATTGCTGGTGGGTTCTTGGTTAAATGTTAACCAATCGAACAATTATGGAATGCCAGTCCCTGATACTTGTAAAGAAAAGGTCGTTGTAATTGGGAGGTTGGTAACTTTCCTAAAGCTAGTGAGGAGAATAATGCTTCTTGCACTGAAAAGGTTTTAGAATGGAGATGCTAGTATATTAGAAACTATGTTGCAAACCCCAGGAAATCAGAAAGATAATTATGATCATGTATGAAAAAGGGAAAAACAACTAAGAGTTATTAAGAGTATTGATATGTTCTTTTCATAATTAAGAGTTAATTAAGAGTATTGATATGAAAAAGGGAAAAACACTGAAAGATAATTATGCTTTGAAACTAGTATTGACATGTTCTTACTATTCTATTCTAGCTATAAAATAAAAATAGTTAATGATACATATGGGATGAAAATAAACTCAACCATGGAAATATGTCTTTCTTAATTAAGCTTTTGGGTTCTTTTTCGTTGTTGGATCTCGTTATGTTTGGTGGGTTTCGCATCAGCTTTTCTTTGAAATATAAACTTAGCCCTTTTTGAGTACTAAAAAATTTTGTTTCCAAAAGAGTGGTGAATTTGGGTTGTGGAAAGCATTGTTGGTACAATATGCTCTTCTTCAACTCTTATTGTGTCCCTGCTAATTCTCAGGGATTTCATCAATAGGCCAATTGGCTTTGGCCTCTCTTCATGGTTTCTGCTTACAAATATTGGTTTGGAATACTAGTATGGCATTGTGCTGAAATGTCCACCTTCTTTGGTGGTTTTACATTAAGGAAGGGAGGAAATAAAAGCTTTTAACCATTGTGATAATACACGTCAATCTGTCCAATATCCATTCAAATGAAGCATATAGATCTTCAATGAAGTAATCTGTGCACAGGCTAGCACTCTTGCACTTCAGCCCGAGACTTACCAGTTTTACTTGAGGTTTATGCACTTCATAAATTCTAGTCGATTCCAAATCAATTAGAACAATTTCTGCTCAACTATCAACTTGGTCAAATCTGAAAAAGAAATTCTTAGGAAATACTGAATCCTAATGTAAACCTGTATTCTTGAGACATTCTTGTATCATTTGCAGTACATTCTTTTGATACAAAAGAAAAGAACAAAGAAAAATGTCTTCAGTGAACTTTGCAACAGATTAGTAGGCTGCCCAGTTTTTCACACTGGTTCTTCTTATGGGCAGTTAAAGTGTCAATCTTATACCAACTCCATCTTTTTCAAATTCTTTTCAGGGGAAAGCTTCGAGCAATGTGCATCCAGAGAAGTGAAGGAGGAAACTGGCTTAGACATAGAACAGGTTGAGCTCCTAACTGTCACCAATAACGTATTCTCACACGAAGCAAAACCAGTGCATATGGTTGTCATCTTCATGCGTGCGGTGTTGGCAGATCCTGATCAGGTGCCCCAACTTCTTGAGCCCGAAAAGTGTTATGGTTGGGATTGGTACAACTGGAACAACCTCCCAGAACCACTCTTCGGACCTTTTGAAACTATGGTACGCAGTGGATTTGATCCCTTCCCTGCTCATCAAAAACAATGAGAGACAATTGCTCAGTTGCTCAGCTCTGCAGACAGCTTTCAGATGACTAAAATTTACACCCTTTTCTAGGCCGGTTTCTCTGGGGAATCTTACAACTTGATATTATTGGAGCCACGAAATCAGCAGTGTTTTTCTCATTACCTCTCCACGTTTTGAAATCTATGTACACGATTATGACTTCATAAATATACCTTGAAAGGTTTCAGCTCATTGTGACATTATTTTTGCTTTCCTCTGTAGTATGTTTTAGCAATTTCATTGCTGGGCATTATTCATGAACCAGGGAATCAAAGCAGCATGCTTCTTGGGAAGCGGTCATGGGGAGAGCTGTTGTGTCCACTTTGTTTTGCATTCTACAGCATGCATTGTGATCAAATAAAACATGAACAAACTGCCCAGCATTTACAACGTTTTTGATACGTGGCGATGGTGTTGCAAAAACGTTACGACATTTGGTTGTGCATGAGATCGGTGGTTCTATTTGAAAATCTTTGTCCACAGGCGAAACAGAGCAGCAAGAATTAATTGTAAAAGATGAAAATCACCCGGAGTTATCAAAGGTAAAACAAGAGGGTAGTTGGATTGTGTCACACATCTTCTAATAAAACCTCACTAACCAGTATATCAGTCTCGTGGGCTTCTATATTTAATGGCTAACTGATTTTGAGTTGGATATTTTAATATTGTATCACTCTGTCATGAATGTATAACAAAGCCTGAAGCGAATCGGGTTACAACGTTCGTTACAAGAAAGAATGAGAAGAAATTTGGAAATCCTTGTGGATGCAATTGCTGCGTGTGCTATTGATTAGTCACTAATTCGTCGCCATCAAAGGCTTTGATGTTTCGAATCATGAATTTACTTTCATATAATTGCTAGCAGTCATCATATAATGCTTTTGAGATAGAATGTGGGTGGATGCCTTTCAGAAAAGAGCAATATTATATTTACTTAAAAATTAAACTTGATAATTATAACTATTGATTTCACTGTGGGTCTTAGTATTTATTGAGACTCACTATCTATTCAATGATTGTGATTCTTAAGTCTAATTTTTTTAATTTAATTTTTAAGTCAATGTAACATTACTCTTCAAAAAAATATATTGTCAATTTGTCATTGTTGTTTTTCAATGTATATCCGCAATCGATAGATATTATGAAAATTCTATAAAATAGACAAAGATCAAAATTTCATTTCAATACATTATTTCCGTCACATAAGAAAAATAAATGTTTCGAAGTGTTTCAAAAGCATTTTGATCCGTTTCGAAAACAAAATTTAAGAATTATTTTTTTAAAATATTGATCGAAATATACATAATATCTTGAAATACTTTGAAACATTCTAAAATAATTATGCAAATACATTGAAATATAACAAAATATTTCGAAACGTTATATAACACCTCGGAATATTAGAATTTTGATTTCATCGTTGAATCATTCCGGTCACCTTAGAAATGGAAACGTTTCAGATGTTTCGACCGATTTGAAACAATATTTTGAACCTTGAAAATAGGGTAGTGTTCTAATGTTGTCAAGTGTGAATTTACAGATGATTTGAATGGTCCAAGAAAAGAAGATGATTTATGTTGTGACCGGACCAAGATTTGAGTATCGAGGTAGACAGTAAAGTGATAAAAAAGTAAATAAGACACACGCAAATAGACATAAAAGATTTACGTGATTCGGCTATTACCTACGTCCACGATAAATAATGATCAGATATTTTCACTATAAAGTAAAATAATAGTACAAAAACAATTGTATCTTGTCTCGTAAGTACTCACTCCTACTAGAGAAAATACATTCTAACCTCATTGATATCACTCACTCTGAGATGTCTCACAACTCTCTATACTCAGAAATACTTATGAATCTGATGCCCATAACCCTCTGTCTGAACCCCTTTTATATGGGAATTCAGGAGAGGAAACGTCTAAGCAATTAGATGCGCAATTAAATATGCATGTGATTGAGCCATCAGACAAGCCGATTGAGAATTCATGTAGATAATTAATTTAAAGCTTTCTCCTAACCTTGACTTTTGTGCCATCTCCATTTCAGGCCACAAAAGGCTATGGCCTTCTAACCACTTTTTTAACAATTCTCCACCTTGGACAAAAGCTCCTCAAGCCATTTGAAAACTCACTCTCGATCGTTGTCTCCGATGCGCCTCACAAGGCACTTAAGTTGGTATGATATTGATCAAGTCCAAGCAATGCTTGAACTTACTTGTTGGAACTACCTTCATGATCATATCTGAAATATTTTCACAAGTGATGGCTTCATGATATATGACCAGCTCGTGAGCCTCAACATACTCTGCCACACTAAGTGCATAGGCAACATGATCCTCGTACCCATATCTTTGAGGCGGCTTAATCTGTCTCCTTTCTCTATCCCTAGTAAACATGTATACTTGTTGCTGCTGAGCCACATCAGAGTCTTGATCCTCTTTTGCATCTTGCCAGACTGGAACACCATCTTGTAAATCTTCTTGCAAGTTCTTTGGAGCTTCCACTTCAAACTCCACTTGCTTGTTGAGACCGTGGTCTTTTCTAGTATCAAGAGATTCTTTCTTCTTAGGTTCAAGCATAGCAAACTCATTAAAGGTCACACCCCTGCTAATAATACATTTGGATGGTTTAACGCTTTCACACCACAGTCTATAACTTTTCACCCCATTTGCATACCTTAGAAATATGCACTTCCTTGCCCTCGATTCAAGTTTACTATCATTCGCATGAGCATAAGCAAGACAACCGAACACTCTTAAATGAGTGTAACTTGTAGGAGACCTGGCCCAAACCTCTTCAGGAGTCTTGTTCTTGATAGCTGTCGATGGAGACCTACTAACAAGATGACAAGTTGTATTGATAACTTCAGCCTAGAACTTCTTGGATAAACTAGCATTTGAGAGCATGCATAGTGTCTTCTCCAAGAGAGTTATGTTTATTCATTCTGCAACTCCTTTCTGCTTTGGTGTTTTCCTCACCGTGCGGTGTCTCACAATCCCTTCTTTCTTGTAGAACTCATTGAAAGTACCTCCACAGAATTCCATGTCATTGTCAGTTCACAAGTGCTTGATCTATGTTCCTGTTTGCTGCTTGATCATAGCCTTCCATTGTGTGAACTTTCCAAAAACATCATTATTGTGCTTCAATATAAATATCCAGACTTTCTAAGAATAGTCATCGATAAATGTCAACATATATCTTCCACCACCAAGAGAAGGAACACGAAAAGGTCCCAAAGGTTAGAATGGATATAATCCAAAGTACCCTTGGTTCGATGTATAACCATACTAAACTTCACTCTGCACTGCTTTCCGAATACGCAATGCTCACAAAAGTCCAGTTTTCCAGTCTTCTGGCCACACAACAAACCATATTTGCTTAGCACATTTAGTCTTCTCTCACTAATATGCCCTAATCGCATATGTCATAACTTGGTAGTGTCTGAGCTTGAATCTAAAGATGAAGTTACGGCAACAGCACTTGTCATTATGCTGCCCTGTAGTAGATACAGGCCATTCTACTTATCTCCTTTCATCACAACAAGAGCACGTTTTGAAATCCTCATGACTCCACCTCCAGCTTCATACGTACAGCTATTACAGTCGAGTGTATCCAAGGAAATAAGATTTTTCCTTAGATCTAGAACATGCCTGACATTTGTAAGAGTCCTCACAATACCATCAAACATCTTGATCCGCATTGTCCCTATCCCAACAACCTCACATCCTACATTATTTTCCATTAAGACCTTACATCCATCGATTGATTGATAGGTGGCAAACCAGTCCTGATTGGGACACATAGGATAGGAACAATCCGAATCAAGAATCTACTCATCACTTGAGCTGCTCGTTGAACACATGAGTACATCAACATCAGTGAAATTTTTTTCTACAACACCGACAACTTTACCAGAATTTAAGTCTTCAATCTTTGTTTTGCCTTTATGCTTTAAACAATCTTTTCTAATTTGCCCTTCCTCGTGATAGTGAAAACATTTAACTTTTCTAAATCCTCCCCTTGATTTAGATCGGTCTCTGCTATTTGAGTCATTCTCCGTTGATCGTCCTCTTGCAACCAAGCCTTTGCCTAAGCTTCCATCTCTATTTTCAAACACCCTACTCTTTAACTCTTTCGAGTTCAAGGTTGCCTTTACATCCTCCATAAAAAGAGACTTTCTACCATACATCATGGTATTGACAAAGTGCGCATGTGATGGTGGTAAAAAAACACATGAGAATCATGACTTGAATTTCATCATCGAATGTATAATCAATGTTCTTTAGATCTAACATGATTTTATTATACTCGTTAAGCTGGTCATTGACAGGTGTACCTTCTTACATCTAGAGAGTGAATAACTGTTTTAACAAATACAAATGGTTCGTGATAGACTTTGTCGTGTATAGGTTCTCCAACTTTAGCCACAAACCTACAACTAAAGTTTCCACAACACCTTATTGTTAAGGCTCAATATGACACACTATGAGCCTTTGCCTGAATATCCTTCTTGTTGTCGTCTGACGTTGTTGTTGGGAAGGCATCTCTCCCTGCTACATCATTTTTCTCTATGGCATTC